TGCGTGAACAGTAAATACAGAGACAAATTGTCACGCTTTTTTTTTGTTGTTTATTCCCGGCATATTTTTTAATCAAAGCTCTCTTTCCTGTCCTGTCTTTCTTGCTGTTTCTCTTCCTTTAACTCGTTCTCTTTTTATCAAGACTTTTATCGAGTTCTGGAATGGATCCAATTAAGGTGTTCCATTATTTTCCAATTAATACTGCGGCCACGGCTCGTCGAGAGCGTCACATTACTATGTTCAGCAGAGTGCTTTAAAAAGTCACAAGACACGTTCGCACAAATCGACACGGGGACCGCGAGCTCGTGTTCCACTTGGCGGCCCGTCATCCGAATATCAGATAACGGAGGCTGGGAAAGGCCTGAAACCAGAGCACACATCACAGCCAAGGCTCAGCGGTGGAGGGCCGGGGCCTCGTGTACAAGGGCCGCAGTGTGGCGTCTGACCTTAGGAGCACAGACGCACACGTCATGAGATGCCCCCACACTGAGGGCCATTCTATCCACTAATTCTTTAACGGTTTTCATTTCGGGCCTATATTTGGTTAACATGGGAAAGTCAAAGTAAACACACAAAATCAAAATAATAATAATAATAATATAGGTTTCCATCTAATAATAATTAGATGGAAACCTGAGTGTTGGAGCTTTTATATAAGATGTTATTTTATTCATACATAGTATTGTTTTATTATTCCTGATATTTGCTTATTTACTGAAGATTGTTTGGTATATTAAAATGGTTTTATTTTTGTTATTAAGTATCCTTAGTCTTGGTTGGTTAGTTTGCTGATGAGCTGGGTAACACAACTAACTGGTTATTTACTGTAGTAGACAGGTACAGGACACCGAGACGGGAGTTAATTTAGTTATTTTGTCTGTGTGATAGATTTTAGCGTGCAAGACAATCTGACAAATACAAAATGCAACTGTTTCCTCAAGCTGTTGCGTTTCAAACCGAGTCCTCTGTGACCTGCTGTCGAGTTCAAACGTCTTTGTTTGTTCCCTCTGCGGTTCCGTAGCTGCTATTTGTGCCCGTTGGACTACATTCATCGTCAAGATATGACGGATGCTGAGCCAATAGCTTATTCAATAAACCAAACCAGCACGAGAGACTGCTTCATCAGTCCTGCCTAATTGGCATTGATAGTACCGTTTCTCCTGTTATACCTCGTATAAGTGTTCAAATCCCAAAATGGGATCAGGCTTCTGATGGAGTGTGCGGACCGTGTCTCAGCGGGGGGGGGTAGTGCTAACGCCCTCGTAGCAAGAATACAGATGACCACAAGTCCTGCCATCACGGTAGTTCCCATGGAGACGGCCATCGCTGGAGAGGTGTTGACGATATTGGGACGGAAGAGGGGACGGCGCTGACTGACGGGGGTCCGCGTGCACGAGTGCGATCTGACGCCTGCGCTGCCTGAGCACGCCGGCTTGTGCCGTGTTAAAACACATTACAAGAAGCTGCAGCTCGTCTTCCCCTCCGTCCCCGTGTCCCCCCTCATCACCGCCTCTTTTCCCATTTTTATCAATCTTACGTCGCTCTATGTGTTAGAGGGAAATCACAAACGTCCCTTTATCCTCTCCCTTTCTTCTCCCCTCCTTTTCACGGGATTGCTGGCAGACCGGATCGCCAAATTCTGTCACTCTCAGCCACGATGGCACGTGCAATGTTCGACATTAGAGCGGCCCTTTAAAAGGGTGCGGCCGGGTAGTGGCAGGAAGGGAGGGAGGGATGAAGGAACGGATGAAAGGTGGATTAGAGAAGGATGATTGCGGACATCCTGCTGTAATCTCGTTTGCTTTTCTTCCGCCTTTTGGATCTCTGTTTTCTCCTTTCCCTCCCAGCGTCTCTCCAGACCTCCTCTCATTTCCCGGCCTAATTTTCACCCAAGCTTTACTGACCCGCCGCGCCGCTACACCTGTGCATACACACAGACCCAATATACTGTAGCTCAACACGCCTGGGACACGCTCACTCATGTTGCAGTGGCAGAACAACTCGTTGCAAATTGTTCCCACGCTGATTTCTCGTTATTTACATGGTCCTCGGGACGCTTCGAGTCCGCGTACTCGAGCCCTCCCCGTGCCTGCGCTCCGGTCTCTTCAGCATTACTGATGTTGGCAAAACTTTGGGGAGGACCCGTCGTTTCTGAGGAGTCGGGACACATTCTTTCGTTATGTGTTACTATAATTGCTTTCATGCTGTAATTTCCTGATGCACTTGAAGGTGATGAAAACAGTAATTCCGTTTTGCCACTCGAGCACAGTTTACAAGGAACACGGCTCTCTGTCATATTTATAGCAAGTGCTTGTTATTTAAGTTGCAGTTTTCGTAATGCGAAGTGATGGGGAGATATTTATCCCTTCCTCCGCCTGCGGATTCGCTGCCAGACCCTTCATTATAACACCATCTGTTTTTATTACCTTTTTATTATGCTCATCTTTGCTGTTAGCGTGCCAGAAGGGAATTTTGCATAGTGAAATGTACATAAACAGAGTTTAGTCCTATTACCGAGGATTACCGATAACTAGAAATGCATTGTCAGTGATTGTCAGACTGCCCCCCTCCCCACCCCCCCCCACCCGGCATATCTCCCATGTTAGTTAATAGATAACAGAGGATTGTCGGAGGGGAACCTGAGGCTCATCAAAAGAGGCTCTGCTCCACTGTCTAGACAGGATGCAGTAAGCACAATGCTTTATTAGCTCATCTGTCTCTGTCCACGCTCGTTTGCACAGTTGCTTGGGCTTTATTTCTGTTGTCAAACTGTCTATCTTTTATTTTTTCAGTGTCAGTTAACTCACAAGTTTTAGTTTTTTGTTAGCCCTTAAACAGGATCCTATTTATCTATGGCCGGAGCAATAAAACTATCCACAGCTTGGATTACCAAAGAGGCTTTTATTGAGGGCTCCATCTCTGCTTACTCTTTAGAAAGTGTTCACGGCTCAGCTGGGCTCAGCTTAGTCTGCATTCCGCCCCCATTTGCGCTATTAAATTGCACACCATTAAATTCACAGGGCGGAGGGACGGGTTCGGGTGGGTGCACATTTGAACCGTGCATTACAGTTCCGCTGCCGGTCACCACAACACCGTCGCACAATTTGAAAGCTTTGTCGTGCATTAAGAGATTGTTGCTAATTATTCAACACATTGCTGTTAGAAAAAAGAGGGTTTTGTATGTTTTAAGAAACTGTTTGTTAAACTCTAAAAGAGCGTGCGTGTACTCATTTCTGTCTTTAGTTGCAATTTGAGCATGTTAGAAGAACAATACGTTGTTTGCAACTTCTTTTTTTTGCAGCTTTCGGATACGTAGGCAATAAAACAAATTGATCGTGGACATTTATCATTTCCATATAGTTTTGTGTATCTGCTTATGTTTAATACACTGTGTGTGTGTCTGTGTCTAAAAATGCCCCTCCCCCCCCCACCTCCCGATTCAGTTCAGACTAGAAGTTGGCGCGTCACGGGTAGAAGCAACTTTTGTGTGTTTTGCATCTGGAAGCATTTGCGGGCCAAGCAGATGTGGACATGTGGCTGGAGGAGGAGCTTGAGGACGATTGGCGCCTCACACCTTTCCTCGTCTTCTGTCCCCCGGCTGCCTGCCGCACTCTTCTCCCGTAACGACGTTCTCGTATTGGGTACGATCGTGCATCTCTCCCCTCCCCCGCTCCCTCGGCTCTCACGTGAATAATGTTGCTCCGTACCGGAGGACACTTGCGTCATTGTTAATGTGACATTTGTTCACGTTGTTTCCGCGGAATGCAACATCTTGCGCTCATGCATACTGTTGTTCACGATTCCCAGACGACGACAAGCCTCTTGCCTTCGTTCCTGCGTTTTTTTCTCCATGGAGGTGCATTAAGAGGACGTGATCAGCGCACCCTGCTTTAAGTCACAGCTTTTTGTGAAGGGACACTTCACTGTGTGGGAAGGGTTCAATGCAGAGAACAATCTCCTGTATGTGTAAAATAAAATGGCAGTAAAAACGGCTTCTTCTTCTTCTAAATTTCACACATTTTGAGCTTACAGCCATGTCACGGCATGAAATCGACACATTTTGACACCACACGGTTCTCTGAAGTGTAACCGGAGCGCTGCACCAAATGCATTGTGGGTGTCCTCCAGACATGATCCTATCTTCTTACTTTAATCGAGTCCACGGCAAATTGACAAATAATATCAGGACATCACATTCCTTCTATCATAGCTCTCTGTCCTTCTCCCTGACACGCACACACACACACACACACACACACACACACACACACACAGCATCGATAATCGATTGAAGCCACTTGCTGATTCGTGTGTGTGTGTGTGTGTGTGTGTGTGTGTGCGCGCGCGCGCGCAACGAGGGGACTTGTGGCTTCTTCATTTTCTTTCACTCGGTGCTTTCATCCGTAGCTACACGTGTGTTCTTTGTGTAATTCACTGCGTGGATACAGACATTTACATGCAAAGCATCCAAACGCTCACTGAATGGCTGTCGGCTGGAGAGTGCGCGGGCATCGGCGCCTCGGTGACGGCCTCTCGCCCACTCCTCTGAACCGACGTGCACATGCTCGTACACAAAGGTGATCAACTCCTCACTGCAGGGTAATTGTTTCAGCAATCCACTCCACAGCGAGACAACAGCCACCGGGCCACAGTAATGAGAACGATGAGAGTGTGTGTGTTTGTGTGTGTGTGTGTTCGTGCATGTACGTTTTAATCGGCTGCATACCACTTTGTATTCCGCCGAGATAGCTGGAGATGGATGATATCATCGCTGCTTACCGGGTGGACGATACAGTTACCACACTGTGCTAACGGTGTGTGTGTGTGTGTGTGTGTGTGTGTGTGTGTGTGTGTGTGTGAGTGAACATGACTTTTTTTCACCCTTTTATTGGAGGAGTGTAATTGATGAATATATAATATCAATGTGTGTGTGTGCGTGTTTTTTATGTGAGCAAATAATACACGTCAGCTACTAACTCTCTCCTTTGTCTTCTCCCCAGACCTCGGCTCCAGGCCCAGAGGAAGTTTGCCCAGTCGCAGCCCAACTCGCCCAGCACCACACCCGTCAAGGTGGCCGACCCGGGCAGCCTGAACACCGCCGTGGCCACTGTGCCCTCAACATCCCTGTCATCGCTCTCCTCCTCATCCCTTTCCTTGTCCATTCAGGAGCTGTCCCGACGCAAGCCCAAGACGGAGGACTTTCTCACCTTCCTTTGCCTCAGAGGTGAGACGGGTGCAGAGACATTTCCATGCAGACACACAACCAGCTGTGGGATGTTTGTCCAGCAAGCAGGCCGCAGATACTGCATGTCTGTCTCTCATGTGAGGGGTTTTAATGCGCGCCCGGGATTTCTTTTTTTTTTTAAAGAAGCTGAAGCAGATATTTATTCTGAGGCTGGACAACAGTTTGCTACTGTCTGGCTCTCTTTGACTGGGCCGGCACTGCGTAAGCCTTCTGGTTGCAATCTAATGAACACGCACCTGTCAAACCGCAGATACGGTCCAGTGCCGAGACGGATCGCCTCACGCGCAGGTCTGAAGGGCAACCTGGACTACAGCTAAACCCCTTTTAGACACACACAGACGCATACACAAGCAATTCCAGAGCACTTGTTAAGAATACGTTTTGTTAAGTCGTGTTGAGATCACCCTACACGCACGCACACACTCAAAATAACTACTGGCATGTAAGATCCCATCCTGCATTTAATCAGCTTACAGAGCTCCCTCTCCTACCTTTCAACAAGTGTGTGTGTCTTCAACACCCCGTCTATCACCCTGTTGCACAGCAGCTGTCGGTGCACGTAGTACTCGCACGGTCACACGCCCCACACCACAAACACCACGCGGGTTCATCGCCACTACGTCGCACCTCACGTGTCGGGTGAACTGGAAAAAAAAAAAAAAGCCCCGGCAGAGTAATTAGCAGCATTTTTCTGTGTTTTTGTGCGTACGCGTGTGTGTGTGTGTGCGCGCGGCATTGATTTATTGGGATTGTCTTCACTGGGGAAACTATTTGTGTTAAATGCAGGCACTAAGCAGAAGACACTCCAGGCTTCTCCTTTGGAGTTAATGAAGGATTCTTGTTGCCTATGATCCATCGCTGCGTTGGCCAGCAAACGGATTGGGCTGGTCCGCTGCCAGGACGAAAGGTTCTATCCTCTAGAGACCAAATTACACCGTAATTATCACACTGGCAGAAGTATACTGTGAATTGTTTGAGCGTCTCTGGATCAGACATCAGGGATGCTTTCTAAATTCTCTTTATAGATGATGAATTGTGTTTTCCCAGTCGCTCCGCGTGCTGATTTTACAGGGTAAAGTGGAGGTTATGCACATTATCTAGTCTACTACGTGTCCTTTTTATACAGGCGGACTCAATGACCCTTCACGGGAGACTTCAATTAATCATAAGCTCCACCTTAGATTCATGACCGTCTCAAACAGCCCTCTTACAAAGGCGAGGGAGTGACGCATTCACGGCCTGAATACAAAAAAAAGTTAAGGGCCACAGCCTTAGACGTGCCTTCTTTATACTACTTTATCTTCTCCTTTGTTAAATATCTCACTCCTTTTTCTCCAACGTGTCGTTGAAGCGGGCGTGAAGACAGAGCCGCTTGCTTCAGATGAATTTACCGTTATCATCATTAACCTCCGCCCGCCTTACAAAGTAGGCTAAAGACTCAGGAGAGTTGAATTTAGATTCAAACCCGTTGGGAGAGGATGGCCATACGTTGCTATTCTGACGAGAGCGCTTCCGATGTAGAACGCCGTTTTAACCTTTCAGGGCTCCTTCAAGAACGCAGGGGGCTTTGATCTGCATATTTAGGCCAGGCTGTTACGTAGGCTAATGATATGATGTCCCGTATACCTTACACTTGGAATTATTCTGGGCTGTGGGTGCTAAACTAAGTCAAGCCTTCCATAATGAGGTGTAGGTGGCTGGTCCTGTTAAGAATGGGGCTACGCTGCTAAGCTAATGTTTGCATGCTTTTGCACTGGGCTTTTTCAACTGCCGCTTACTGCTGTATTTATAGCTCAAGTTTAACACTGTGTGTGTGTGTTTTGAGTACTGCGAGAATGACATTTTCCTGAGGGGGCTTCTTCTGCGTGGTTTCTCCCCTCGGCCTCTCACGTGACCCGTATGTAGCGACCCTCACCGAGAGACGGACACGGGAGAATGTCAGCAGAGCCCTTGAGGTTGTGTGTAGGTGGAAGTGCGAGTGTGTTGAAGTGTGTGCGTGAGCCAATGCTCACCACTGACGTCCTGCTCATTTTCTCTCTCTGTGTGTGTGTGTGTGTGTGTGTGTGTGTGTGCATTATGGGTGTACGGTGAGACACAGCCTACGAGGACAGCCGCGTTAGCTTGGTTAATCTTTTCAAAGGGACAAGTCTTGGACATCCTCTGAAACCCCCAAATCCCCTTTTAAGATCTAGATGCACGTCTATGCGGTGATCTGACCTCCACCAACATTAGGCTGCCTCCCGTCTGCAACCCGGAAGCCCCTGACAGCACCTCTGGCTATATTATGCAAATCACCAAAGCATCATCTCCTCGATTATTTCTCTCAATTTCATTCAAACTCACTTTTCAAAGTAATTGTAATTGTACGTTCAGCAACCTTTTTCTCTCCTAAACCCCATCGGTGAGGATTCCTGGGAGCTGTCCCAGGTCAAACGTTCAGTGTTTATAGACACACACACACACACACACACACACACACACACACACACACACCCGCTGCAGTGTTTGCTTTTCTTATCTGGTAAACAATACGCATTCACCCCACAAGGCTTCTATCATGACTGCAGCTGACAGCTACATAAAAGCAGTTAAAACGTGGAGCATTTCAGTCTGTAAAGTGAGCAACAAAAACTCTTGTGTCAGTCCGTGTTGTGAAAACACAATTTAAAGGGATGCTTTAACGCCGAACACATTTCCCCATTGAGCAGCTGAATGTCGGTACTATCGGAAAACGGTTCAAACATGAAACTGCGCACAAAAGGTAGTCGGATTACCTTGATTAACCGCGTCGTTAGTTCCGACAATAGAGTTTCGTTTGTTCAAATATACTTTCCTCCTTTGGCGCTCTGAGCACCAGAGGCCGAGTGTGATCCGTTATGTTTGAGAGGATGTAGGAAGGGATGCATTCAGAGAGACGGTATCTCCAAAGCCAACAATCTAATTGAATAAATAGCTCTATAATTATGAGGGAAAAGATGTATTGTATGATTTCTGCGGTGAAACAGTCCCTTTTTAAATCACAATGTCACGATACCAAGTTCAGCTTTCACAACAGTTGTTTATTTTTTGTTGCTTATTTTACAGCTTCAGATCAGTTTATGTGCTTTTTAGCCCTCAGCATGACGTCTCACTCATTCTGCATGATACTCTGGCTCATTTCTCTATCCAAGTTTGTAAAAAAACGTATTCTCTCGGGATTACAGCCCCCACATTAATGAAGCGGGTAGCTGCTGTATCTGAAGACTGATTCTGATGCAACGTGGGAGTAACCGGACAGAGAAGTAAAAAAAACAAAAACAAAAAAAACCCAAAACAGGATTTGTTTCTTGTGTTTTAAAAGGATGCGGATCATGTGTGCTCACCACCCACACTGTCTACGGCTGGTATTCTGTATTTATCTGACTGCTCATCTCGTCCTCCTGCAAACACACACACACCAGCGGAGTGCTCAGGCCATGCCCGTGCACTCAGAATGGTGTTTATGTGTGTGGTCCAGGCCTGTCGTTGCTCTGTTTATATCCACGGAGAAAGCCATTTGGGTGGAAGCCAGACAGTCCGCCTCTGGCTCCGTCTACCTCTGGTAACACGCAGGGTGCACTGATGCCGTCGGCCAGTTGGGGGCAGCACTGCCAGCAGCAGAACGTGGTCTATTTCTGGCCCACGCCAGGTTCTCCCCAAATGAAGCTGCCCACTGTTTAAGGCAATGGCCCCAATGTTTCAGGAAGGATCGCTGTCATGGATGTACACTAGACATTCAAGTGTCAGTGGTTACACTCTTACTTTGTTGTTTTCTTGCATCTTTAAAGTATTCATCAATAGATATCGGACACCGTTTTTTTTTCATATCCACATAGAACAGATAAGAACAGATTATGGTGTAAATGAATAACTGTCTGTGCACACACACACACACACACACACATCCTGGAAAAGAGTCCCTTACATAAGATCCATTTTAAGGAGTGCGCCTTTCTTTCCAATTGTGTGCGTGTGTCCGTATTCCAGCAGCGCGTGTGTACCGTTTCCACCTAGTACCCCTCTGGGCCTTCTTCCACGCTCGCCAGCGGGGTGCCTTTCCTCTCCGGTTCAGCGGGTTCCTCTGCTCTACTTGCATAACCTCCGGCACTGACCTGCTGAACCAGAGACCTCAGATTCTGAGTATGTGATCACACATGTGAGCAAATGTGGACTTTTCACATCTGGTTTTTGAGGAAAATACTACCAATGCCGGGTACTGGGCTTTGGGACGTCTGTCTCTGCAGTGGGGTTGTTAGATGTGAGTTTTATTTGATGGTGTTTTTACTGTGTGTGAATCGGCTTTAACTAAGAGCACATTTCTGCTCCTGGGAATAGGGTTTCAAGTCTGACAGCGACTCATGAGGCTCTCGAGTACATTGTTGCTGTGACAAGTGAATTTCCCTCAGGGACCAGGAACTTTTCTTTCTCTAATGTACGATTGCTATTTGATAAGCCTGAAAGCTACAGTTGTGACTCTCTTGTCACTCACGATGCAGAGGTCGGTCACACAAGCAAGACAGATTCAGCTTTTTCCCTCAAGTGCACATCCACTGTTTGTGGGGTTTGTGTTCTGACATCAAGAAATGTAAATTGGAAAAGTAATCCGTCACCCTCTCAGTGGCTCGTACGCTTTCTCTCTACTGTTCCTTCACTATTGACTTATACACAGTTTGTCAGCGCTCAGCTGTAGTAAAATAACCCACATAGTCCTTTCTGACCCCAACCCTTAAAACCTCCCTCCCCCTTCCTGTGCACTCACGTGGCCCTTTCAGTGTGTCCCCACGGCAGCTAAAGCCTCCTGATTGACTATTTAAATAGTCGTCATTGTTTCAGTTTCAGTAAAGGGGACAAAAAGAGAGCCCCCCCCCCCCCCACCCCCCCTCCTCGCCCATCAGCCACCCAAGAGCCCCCTTAGAAAATGACAATTCCAATAGAATGTTTGAGACCTAATTATGATTTGTCTGAGCACGGAATGAGGTGGAGGAAAAGGTGGTGTAATTGGGAGGGGGGCCTTCAAGAAGCACTGGGATCTGTCTTTTTATGCGTGTACATATATGGGCATGCACGCGTGTTCTCTGTGAGCTGGCCGGATGGAATCAGGGTCTCCGGTGGTCCTGTGTGTCGGTCTCTTTGTGTCCCAGCTGCATTTTGGGGATCTGAGATCTGTGCTGTTGTTGCATCTGTTTCTATTGGACGTCTGGTTCTGGTCTTCTAGCGCTCTGCTGCTCCTTGCAGCCTTTAAAAGAGGAGAAAAACATTTCTGTGTTTCATACATTTGTTCTATTTCACACTCTGCTCCACCCCTTCCCCTTTTCAGTTTCTACTCTGTCTGTTCTTACCATAAAAATGAATGAAGGTTTTCTTTTCTTCCCAAACCCAGAAAGCTGCCCAGTTAAACTGTTTCCCAGAAGTATTGTTAAGGTGCACACTCACTTCCTGCAATATATTTCAACGTTTTTATCTCCACTTCCCTGCAGTTCCTAAACAAACACACGCACTCCTCCCTCCATTTCTAGCCCCGGGTGCCCCTGTGGTCTGTTTGCTATTGGCCCTCTGACCCCTGTTCAGAGCGGTAAATTACAGCCATTTAGCTAATGAAGCAAGTCATTAGAAGCTGATTGGGTCGTGTGTGTGTGTGTGTGTGTGTGTGTGTGTGTGTGTGTGTGTGTTTGGTCTGAGAGGAGCGTTTGCTCTGTCGCCAAGATGAACGAGGTGTCTGTGCGTTGTGCTTCTTTGTGTGGCGCTGCGCAGTGGCACGCAAACATCCGCCATTCCTGCAGCCCGATACACAAAATCAGAAAACATTCAAATAAAAGCGTACACAAATATGGAGTGTTTTGAGTTGTCCTTTCTTTAAGGCAGCTAAACGACGTGTTGCTGCCTTCCCAGACAGCAGTACATTGCTCTGCTTTTAGGTAATCCACTGAGAGTAGGTAAGAGCCTTGTACAACCGTACTTCAAATAATCCCAACCAACTCGCCGTAACAAGTCCTTTCTCATTAGGAAAGCCCGGGTCAGGAGGTCAGGGGGTCATTTATGTAGTGAGTGTCTACGCTCACTTACAAATGTTTCTGAGCTCGTCTCCGCTGTCCACTTACAGTGTAAATGTGTATGTTTCTGCACATATATTCATTTATGCTCTCACTCTAAAAGCGATATCCAAATCTATATAAGGACCTCAGGAACTATCTGTGAAGCTGCTGATTCTAACAATAATTAAGATATATTCCTGAAGTATTCTTTTATAAAATATAGTAATTCTATAATAATAACATACTTGTGTCCTCTATATTTGTATTAACCCTAACCAAAGTATTGCATGAGTAAAATCTAAGACGTATTCTGCACCCTCCAAAACAAGGGTGCTAATTAAATAATTGGCTTGGCGAATTCCTAATTCACTCTGTAATTTGAAGTGCTCTGTACAGCTTAATGCAGGCTGGTTAAATTCAGCCGCTTTTCGGAGGCGTGACATTATTTTAATAGACTCATAATCATGCATTGCTTTCTATTAATGGGCTTTTAAAAACCAGGGCCTTGATAAGGGTAATAAAAACCCCAGTAGTTGCTCATGCTATTGATTTATGTAGCATTAATATAATCCAGGGTTTCCTGCTCATAAACCCCTCTGTATAATCAAGGGTATGAGGATGTTGCATAAGCACATTGCATTTAACCATAAATCAAAACAAGTCAAAAGGAGCGAAATTAGCTTGTATACAGTTTTGCCCACTGTGCTTTGCGGCTACACACACAGGCACACATATTCACGCGCGTCCTATGTTGAGGAAGAACGGTTTCCTTCATGTATCACATGTGCATTATTCTAAAGAATCATCCTTCCTTCCCATTGTGTGCGTGCATAAAAGGAAAATCTTCTCTCTCCTTCCCACTGGCCCTGCAGCGCCTGCTCCTCTGGTAGAAATCCATTCAGAAGCGCTCTGTGCAAACACACTCACAGGCGATGGAGCATTCTCCTGCTCGGGTGCTTCAGTTGTGGCAAAGATCATCCTATCGCTGAGCAAGATTTTCATGTGGTTTCTGGAAGCCCACCAAGGGAGACTATGCACGCCAGTGGCTCCACGAGCCTGGCTTAGGTTTTTTTTTATTTTATTTCTGCATCTGTATGAGTTGAACAGCTGTTTGCACACTGATTTACGAGTGCAACATTATGAGATTTAATAACGCAGCTCTTTGGGCTTTACGGCCGTTTATGAGAGTGTGTGTGTCTACGTCGAGCTAGCCGATGTAACATTATAGCCTGTCCTCTGCCGGACGTCCCTTACCCCCCTCCAGCACGCACGGGGCTAGATTCCTCAGAGATGACGATGAAAGTGACGGAGTGTGACAGAAAACGGAAAGAGAGGGATCGCCGGCGTTCTTCTCCAATAATGGGAGAGATTGACGGCAATCCTGTTTAGAAGAAGGAAGGCGGCCGATTTGGGATCGAGCTCCACAGTGACTGTTTGCTTTTCTAAAGTAACTCTTTAGTTTGATGTTTGAGCAAACGTACGGTATCTGTGGTTCTCAATAAAACTGTCAGAGTGAACACTGCGCTGCGTTTGTGCGTTTTAGTATGCGTGTGTGCAAATATAACAATGGAGGCGCTGTGTGTGGAGCGGTTTACACCGCTTCAATAGGCCTCCAGCTGGGATAATGACAGATGAAAAAAGAGCAGCACAATCACCATTATTCGCAAATGCTTTTGCGACTTCTATTTTTACATTAATATTTCACCACTCGCATATTGATGTTGATTCATCCGCAATTTCAGAGATTAGAATGAAAAAAGAGGTTGTTTTTTTTTCCATACGTGTCTCAGTAAAGTTGTGTTTTTCAGTGCCGGTTTCAAATTTAATAGTTAATTTAGTTTACTTAATTATTTTCCTTTTTCTTTGCCTTGCTCTCCCACCTCCCCCTCCGCACCCTTTCTCCCGCTTTCCTACGCCTCTCTGCACTCAGGTTCCTCGGCCCTGCCCAGCAACATGGCCTACTTCGGGAGCTCCCAGGAGGAGGAGGACCTGGTGGACGAGGAGGAGGAGGAAGACGCGGAGGAGACGAGGAACGGAGGTGGCATCCACTCTCAAGGTGGGGGAGGCAACAGCCAAGTGTCGGCCTCCTCCTCCTCCTGCCACTCGACGCCCCGCAAGGGAAAGCTCCCCGCCAGGCAGCCGCTCAACGGGCACGGTGAGCGCCGGAATAGAGCTCGCAATTAGCCGCGCGTACGGGCGGCTCCTTGACTAACGTAATCACAGGGCATTATGGGAAATGCGTGCATTCATGAAGGGGAGCAGCTTCCCTTCAATCCCGTCTTTGCTTCCTTATCTGAGGAGAAGGAGGAGTTGACAAGGGGGGGGTAAACGGAGAAAGAAAGAGCCCTCTGAGGGAGATGGATGAGGAGGGAGGTGAGGGGAGAGGACAGAGTAGAGTGAAGGATGATGCACCGGCGGAATAACTAAAGATAAATGGAGGGATGCATTTCTAGGAGGGAGGATTTGATGGAGAGGAGCAACACAGGATGAGTCACGGGACAGACAGACGGACAGACAGCGGACAGACAGCGGACAGACAGCGGACAGACAGACAGACAGACAGACAGACAGACAGACAGACAGACAGACAGCGGACAGAGGTGCTGCTTCCTGTGTGCGCGTGACTGTAATTTCCTAAGTTTGCGCTCGTGTTTTTCCACGTCCAGAGACCCGGGTGAGTCACGTAGCATAGCATAGCATAGCTGCACATCAACTCCTTCCACCCCAATTAATACTGAGCTCTCTAAGCCCTAACAAGGTGTTTATGCACTCACTGCGACAGCTGTCCGGGGCCCTTGGCACACACGCACACACCCCTTGTGGGGCGCGTGGACATTTTGGATGAGTAAACGTATACACACAGTTGTGGACTTCATGTAGCATGCATGCATTTGATCCCCATAACACGAGTTTCAATCCTAATCCCATAATTATTGATTTTGTATTGCAGAAAACGTAGGCTTGATTTAAATAATCAGGCCATTTGGTTTTCAAGGCTCGGTCACGGGAAATATTTCTGCGTATTAGGTCGAATTTACCATCATCATATTGCTACTACAGTTTTTATTTTTATACAAAGGACTATTTTAACCTGCAGGCCCTCCTTCTGGCCAGGGGTCCCCCCCCGACAAAACAAGGGCTGGATTTTATGCTTCCTCCCGGATGCTCTCCCTCCCTTCTTAGTCTGTGGAATCGCCCCAGGAAAGGTTCAAAAGGTGAACGCTTTGCTCAGCTCTCTCCTCCGTCATCCTCTGGAGTGGAATGTGGAGGAGGAGAGAGAGGCTGGCAGGGCTCGGAGAGAACCAGGGAGACGGCTCCATGGATTTGCTCGGAATGAACTCTTGGAGAACTGCGCACCACCTTTTTGTGTAGTTCACAGAAAAGTGTCTCCCGTCCAAAACGAGCACAGATGCATGTACTTCTTCTGTCTTTCATGAACATCTGTAGCTGCAGCTTGAATCCTAACCTGCACGCATCCGTATCAGGAAAGTGGAACCTGTTTGAACAAATGCAGGCTTGTTGTGTGCATGAGCACAGCTTAGTCTCCGTTCTTATCTCGTACACCAACACTGTTTGCAAAGCAGCGCGGCGCCGTCACTGTGATATGCTAAATAAATAGATAAGAGGGAAACCAGCAGAACAATATAGATGAAGGGGTTAAGGACACTGAAACAGACGTTTACACACATAAGTGTGTGTGCGCACAGTCAAGACGGGGTCGTTGCTCCAGTGGCGAGTTAGTATTTGTGCCGTGTTTCGTATCAGGAGATGGACACACACTCAGTGCATTTTGTGGCTTTAGTAATTGTGTCAAACGGGACACTGAGCAGGAGCAGCGTCATATGAGCGAGGGAGCGAGCAGTTGGCGAATAGTGGAGTAGTAATAGTGGAGTTTATTCTGGGAGGTAGAGCGAGACAGGAAAGGCCCCACATCGTAAGCCATTCATCAGCGAGCCGTCTCCCCCATTCTCTCTCCCGCTCGGCCATGTGCCATGTTGACATAGCTAAATTAAACAGCCTTTATTGGGCTCCGTTTCTTGCTTAGCTCACTTCTCAAAATGTCAGGATGTCTCTCATTTTTCAGAGAGCCGGGGGGGGGGGGGGGAAGTATAGCGCATACACACAACCTCTGTCGACGAGAAACGTGCACACACACACACACGTCGCGGCATTGCGCTCGTGCTGTAAATGCTCCGTGTGTTTGCGCCTCGGCCCCTTTTCATTGCGCCCGTTGGTAGTAAGGCGCCGCGAAACTTTAAATTGAGCCTCATTAAAGCCGAAGAGGGAGCCATTGAGTGTGTGTTAATTAGCTTGCTCCCGTTCTACCTGCTTAACGTCGTCCCGGGGGACGGCTGCAGTCTAGGTCCACTTTGACGTGTAGTACAGAGAGGTTTTCATACACGGCTTAAATCATGCATATTTTGCTGATCGGGCACTATGAGTTAGCCAAAATCCTGTCACTCCCATGTTAGGGGGGGGCTTTTCCACTGGGTCGCTGTGGTTTGGGGCAGGGAGTTTATATGCATACTACAGGGGGGGGTATTGAGACTCATGTGCACATACTGGTACATGTAGACGGTAGCCTGGAAAAACATACTATATGTCCAAGTGTATTTATGCCTCGATACGTTATAGGAATTTTCCCACTTTTTAAAGTGTTTTTTTTATTCCTTATTTATTTACTTTGAACCTTTGTACATTAATAATTAGAAACTAGGTGGCAGAAAAATCTGTGTATCCATGGTCCATAGATTCCTAAATCTCTACAGTCAAACATGCAATGCTTCTACGCAAGGTGTCCAAAAAAAGAGAAGAGAAATCCCAAATCTAAGAAGATCGTCAAATTATTCGTATATTTCATACACCAGGAGCAGATAGACGGCTGAAACCAGTAGGCGTCATCAGTGATCACTGGTCAGGAACAAATATGCGGTTTTCTCATTTAGCTTCATTTAAGATGATGTGTGGAAAATCTCCCAATTTCCACAGCAATTTTCCTCTTAAGCGATTTCTGCCTCTCACACATGAAGATAAAAGAAGCACACCCTGACTCTCTCTCTCTCTCTCCCTCCTCCCCCCTTCCAGTCTTCAACAGCCACGGTAAAGCAGGGACGCGGGAGAGTCCGAGGCCCAAGGCAGGAACTCACGGCAGGGACGCGCCAGCCCCGCCACTGCCGCCTCCACCTCCGCCGCCTCCGCCCCTACTGAGGGAGCGCAGCGAGCGGGCGGAGGCCCGGGAGCACGCCAGGCAGCAGGCCCTGGCCAGCACCCGGGGCTCCGCCAACGGGCTGCTACCGAGGAGAGCTGCCGACGAGCTGCGCAAACAGGTACTGTGCGGCAGCCGCTGCCGGCTACTCGCAACCGTGACGCGGTAGACGTCCTGTGGAAAAGGGCGGAGGACTTGTGACGGTGGCACACAGAGAGAGTATTCTCACATGGCGGCGGGGAGATACCGGGGGCTTTTCTGTATTATTAAGTGGCTTGAGGTGCAGGATGCTTGTTTGGCTGGAAATCGTCTCGACTCTTATTTTCATTTTCCCCATCTGTCACATCCTCTTTTTATCTCCCCTAAATGATTCATCCTAACGACTGCGATGTATTTTTTTTCTCTACTTTGCTTTTAGTGGCTGATTTCCTCCTTTGTCTTGTCTCCTCCGTGCTCTTCCTTCTCCTCTCCTCTATTGTGTCGGGGAGAGTAATGATCGTGTTTCGGCCTGCTGCGGCGGCGGCTATATTTAGTAGTGCTGGCTGGGGTCTGTGAACGCCTTCCTTCCTGTCCGTGGCCCTTAGCAGGTCTCAAGGAGAGGAGGGGTCAGAAAACTCATCGTATGACCTCATTTTCTAGTCAGACGCAAACCACATTTCATTCCGTCTTTTCCTCTTTCACAAAATATTTAGCTGGTTTTCCTCCTGTCCAGCGATGTGCTTCAGGTCTTCAGAGTGGCTGCAGTTGTGCAGTAAAGCCACCAATGGCTCTGTGCCGTCGCTCTGCCTCTATTCTGTGTTTTTTTTGTTGTTGTTTTGTTTGTTTCTTTGCGGCCATTGTCGCGTGCTCTTGTTGAATCTCTCTCCCCCTCCCTCCTGACTCCCCCGCTCGCTTTCCCTCCCTGCTCCCGTGTCAAAGAGACGGATCTTGCCCTTGACAACATGGCTCCAATCATTTGGAAGGATTAGTGCCTTCTTTTTTTTTTCCCCCTTCTCTCGCTTTTACTCTCGCTTCAATTAGCACCAACAGTATGTGTGTTAACCATGTGTGTTACAAGACTTGCACACATTTATACCCACGGCCCACTGCGAAAATACAGGCTAAGCCATATAAAAGGTTAAGTGATTATGTAGCCGTAAAGAGAAGCAGGGGTTGTGTGTGTAAAACCGAGGGCTAAAGGCGTTCTTTATATTCATTCACATGATTCTGTTTTGATTAAGTTAAAGACGGTTTGGAGACGAAAAAATGCCCGGCAAGACGGGACTCTTTTTTTTAAAACAATAGGAGGTTTTCTATTTAATGAATAAAAAAAGCCGGTTTTCAGACAAACGAGCTCGACAGCCCGCGCCCTAGTTGTGTGTTGTGTGTTGTGTGGGTGTGTCCCAGGCCCAACCCATTAGGCGCTTGGGCATCATTAGAAAAGGTCTTGCCACTTTTTTATTTAGTGGTCCCCCCCCCCCCCCCCCCACCCCAGCCATCAATTAACCTCCCTCATAATACTGCATGTGGAACATATGAATCGATGACCGACACGCCGAGGAGAACAAAATAAAGTGCTTTTCCCAGCTCCTCCATGTAGATCCCTCACTCTGTGGGTTGATAAAAGGGCCCTTTTGCGCTGTGCGTTATTAGTTCACAGGCTGTACTGACCTTTTTCTAGCGAGCTTAGAAGTCGACCCGCCCTGGGCCGCATCGCATCGCTCCCTAATAAGACAGCAGAGGGGGAACGGAGGCGTAAGCCGGATTCATGCCCCGCCGTCGGGGCGTCCTGGCAGTCATTTACTCCGGCGCGGGGATTTGATTGATTGGCAGCTCGGCGCGGGGTTTAACCCGCCCACCGCCGCACTTGACGGATGCGTCACGCGCCGTTCAGGACGTGTCATGCATTCGTTCCGACGTGTACGTTTGTAGCCCCCCCCCCCCCCTACCCATACCGGGGGGAGGGAAAACCCAAAAAAGAGCTTTTTAAAAATTTTAGAGTGTGTCGACCTCCTGGGGGACTCTCTGGAAAAAAGCCCTGAGTGGCGTTCCGGGGTATTGGGGCGTGGGGCCCGTCGCTCCAGTGGCCCCCAGGCTGAATAAAAGAGCCCCACGGAGTCCCGACAAGAGGGGAATACTCTGGAATTTGCGGCACAGGTCCTCGCAGGGTTAAATTCCTCTGTAATCAGTCTGCGATTTGTCAGGCAGCAGGGCTTCGCAAGGGTTAAACTTCCTCCTGTCTGGCCATAACCCCCCCCCCCCCCCGCCTCCTTTCTTCTCATGGCCAGCTCCTGCAGATGTTGACTGTTAAAAAATCTTCCTGCCTGGCCTCAGCTGGGCTATAGCAACACATGATGTCATCTAGACACCCCCCCCCTCCCCCCTCCCCGCTCACATGCGACCGATAATCCACTCCAGAACAGTCTCGGGCTGCTTGTGCGTGTGTGTCTTTCCCCTCGGCTCCATTGTTCTGTCCGTCGTCCTGCTCGTTTCTGCATTAAATGATCTCTACCAGGCGCGTCGGCTTCCACGTCCTTCCACGTATGCCTTGCTTCCCATCTTTCTTTCTTTACGTCCCCAGCGAAGTATTTAAACTATCTCAGGTCGCTGCGCCGCTGCTTCGTATTTCCCATCGCTCATCATCACCCCCTCGCCATCCTTCTTTGCCACCAGACCGAATAATTAAAGGGAGCAAAGTGACAGACTGGGAGAGCCGGTCCCACTGAGCCCTCCTGTGGCAGGAGGCGGCCACAGCAAACCCAGCAAAGAGGCTTTCTGAACAACTGCTACTTTTTTTGCTTTCACATTGAACCGTGTGTTGATTTGGCATAAATGAAACGTGTGGAAATAAATTAGTTTGATATTTGTTTGTGTGGATTACGTTGGACGCCCGTACTGCTGTGCAGCCTGGCTTCAGTCTGTCTGCACGTCTCTTTCCTCTCCCCACTCATCAACACCCCGTCGTTATTCCCTCTCCCCTGCTCACCCCGGTGTGTGTTGGAGGGGAATGATTGACGGAGGCAGGGTTAGGTTTCAGGCCCCCCCCCCCTCCCGTCCCCCTTATCTTTTAATGGCCTGGTCTTTGTGTCGGCCCGCCGCCACCTGAGACGAACACAATACAATACATGAGCAGGCCCCCATATACACACACAACTGTGACACGAGAGCCCTTCAAAGGCAAACCTGTCAATGGACCGGCTGCCCCCCCCCCTGGGGGGCCCAGACTGGGATTGATAACTTCCTCCCTCCTCCTCTAATGGTTTCTGGGGTTCACTTCCAGCTGTTCTGGACAGAAAGCCACACAGCAGCGATTCATTTACGAAAGGACTCCCTGATAGCTGATGCATCGCTGTGTCTGACCCGACTTTGCATGCATCGTTTGGCTATTAAAGAATACAAACAAAAGGAGAAAATAATTTCAACCTTTTGTGTTCATATTATTAAAGAAATGTCTTATCAACTAATTCAGATATTGGCATCCACACATCTTTTTAATTTTCCAAGATGTCCAAACACCGAAGCTCTCTCCATCTGCCTCCCTGCATCCCTCCCTTTCTCTCCGTCCGTCAATGTCTTTCCCAGTCTCTCACTCAAACACACACTCATTGGAGGGAAGGGAATGGCAGCGCTGAAAGTGGGCCATGAAAACAACATGGACGAGAGAGAGAGAGAGAGAGAGAGAGAGAGAGAGAGAGAGAGAGAGAGAGAGAGAGAGAGAGAGAGAGAGAGAGAGAGAGAGAGAGAGAGAGAGAGAGAGAGAGAGAGAGAGAGAGAGAGAGAGAGAGAGAGAGAGAGAGAGAGAGAGAGAGGTGGATATTCTTAGAAATGCAAGCAGCGGAGGAAAGAAAAGCGATGGAGCTCGACAGTTACGTCTCACACAATGGTTTTTCTCCATGTGCCGACACTGGGGGAGAGGCTGACTATGTTTCTTCCCAGTGGAACAGCCGCAGAAGCAAACCACCGGGCTACAGCTGCAGGCCTCATGCACGTCATGTAGCGCTTAAAGAAACTGTTGGCGAATAAAAGGCAATTTTCATTTGGCCGGATGAGATATTATTCTATCCCTCTCACACTGTCCATCTGCTAGCAGAAACCATGGAGCCATCCCTCCTCTCCCTCTCATGTCGTTTTTCTTTTCTGGACCCGTTGTGTTTATCTCGGGATGTAGTGGTTTTTTTTTGCCTTTTTCTTTTCCAAATATCTGTCTCTCTGTTGACGGCAGTCTGAGCTGCAGTTTACAAAAGTGTACCGCATTGGAGAGCACAGTAATCAAGACGGTGGATCGGTTCTCCAATGCATAGTGAAGGGTTCCACAAATACCTCTGGTCCCTTCTGTGTGTGCGGGTACACGCCTCGCTTTCCCATTTTCACTGAAGATTCCCGTCTTCCAGAATCGATCCAGAGCACTGTGATAACTTCCTCGTCTTCATCGTTTCCCATCTCTTTCCCGTCTATCCTCAGGTCTCTAAAGTGAACGGGCTGACGCGGGCGGGCTCGGCGCAGGCTGTCGGCGGGACCAAGAAGAGCCGCGACTTCCGACTGCCGTCCAAAACTGTGAAGAAGTACACAGCCACCGTGTCCAAGGGCCACGTCACCTACACCAAAGCCAAACAGAGAGAACTGGGCAAGAAAACCAAACTCAGCAGCAGCAACAAACACAACAGCGCCGCCTCGCCACCATCGCCGGCGAACAATCACAATCAGCACAGCCAGCCAGCAGCCAGCAATGGGCTGGCTAACTCAGGAAAAGCAGCGGCACCAGCTCACCACAGCAATGCAAAAACCCGCAAACAGGTGCTACTATCTACTAACGGGCTGCACAACGTGGCTGCCATCGCCCGCCTCAACGGCAGGCTGAATGGGCAACGGTACAACCCCCCGGCCAAGGAGGACGGCCAGAGACAGTGCCAGCAGGGGGAGGGCCCGGGTCGAGAGGGGCTGCGTAACTCCAAGCGGCGCCTGGAGGTGGTCCTCAATTCTGTGGGGGCCGGGGTTGTCGAGCAAAAAGCCCAAAACGCCGGCATTGAGGCCAAGAAGGCCAAGCTCCAACCCGCTCCTCTGGAGACGCGCAGCAAGAAGGCGGCCAATCAGGAGAAAGCTGCCACACAAACCGCCGCCCCAGTTTCTAACGGACATGAATCAGACGCCTCCCCTTCTCCCGAGCAAACTCCACCTGTTACCCCACCTCCAGCTCTTTCTGCCTCTCCTCAACAAGCCCCGACTCCCAACACACCAGCAGCCAACGCGGAGCCGGTGAACCAGCGACCCAAGCGGGCGTCAGCCGGCAAGCTGATGTTGATTCGACAAGCACAGCAGCAGCAGAGCAGGTCTCACGGTCGGAACTCCTCCTCCTCCTCCTCCACCTCCTCCTCCCCCTCGTCGGGCCCGAATCACCCACAGAACCCCAGTCGTGCCAACTCTACCTCAGACCCCCAACAAACCTCTGTGTGCTCCTCCAACACCTCCTCTCTGCTTACCTCCACCAACAACCCCGGGCCGCTCAAACCAGCAGCTTTTCGGCCTGCCGACCGAGAGAAGGAGTGGGAGCGTGAAAAAGAGATGGCACGCCAGAAGGAGCGCGGGCAAGAGCGGGAGTGGGAGCGCCAGAGGAGCAGGCCCGAGGGGTGGGTGGCTCTGGGCGAGGTCCCCGTCTTCCAGCCGGTGCCGCGGGAGTTCCAGGACCCCCTGGTCTACCTGGACGCGGTGAGGGAACAGGCTGAGGTGGCGGGGATGTGCCGCGTGGTCCCGCCGGCAGACTGGAGGCCAGAGTGCAAGCTGAGCGAGGAGATGCGCTTCGTCACGCAGCTGCAGAGGGTCCACATGCTGGGCCGGCGCTGGGGCCCCAACGTGCAGCGGCTAGCCTGCATTCGCAAGCACCTCAAATCTCAGGGCATTACCATGGATGAGCCACCGGTCATTGGTAAGTGAGCGACGCAGCAGAGGGGGGTGGGGACACACACACACACAACCAGTCTCCAAAACTCCTTCCGGAATCGATTTGAATTAACCGAACAGTTCCTGCAGGCTCGATTATACGGCAGTGTGTTAAACCCAGACACACCTTTCCTTCGGAGTCCTCGTCTCGGTCACGGCTGCACTCGTCGCCGATTCTCTTTTCCTCGCTTTTGTGCAATGTAGAGGACAAAAAAAAGGATAAATCAAATGATTGATTAACTATTGACTTTAGCGTTGTCTGCACCCTGCGTTGTGTTTAAACGTATTTCATCACATTTGCCACGATCAAAGGCTTCCATCGGGGGTTGGTGGCACTTTGCCTCGGCGATATCTTTCCGTTCACGTGACAATAACAATGCGGCGAGGGACCCGACGGTCCATTAAAACGATATTTACCCCAGATTGTCTGGTCACCTTCCATTTCTCACAATGACATCAGCATTTTATGAGCCTTTAAACAGCCCAGTTAAGACAGAAAAATGTTTGTGTGAGTTTTCTGTTCCCTGTGCGTACTTGGTTGTTGAATTTTATTAGCTTAGCCCCAGTTCATGTTGGGCATGTGCCGTGCAGGGTTTGTTGCTTTAATGCACAGCTGTTTTCACTTTAGCATCGGTCGGGATGCGGCTGTTAGCCATAGAGACCTGGCAGCCTGCGCGCTACAAAGGAGCGGCCTCCGCCAGCCAGAAAGGCCTCATTCCAAATGACTTCCTTTACTGCGCCCAGCAGATCAGTTTTACATTAACAGAATTTGTGTCTGTGTTTGGCACCCTGATGGTTCCGATCACTTTTGAAAGGCGATAGTTCAGTTGGCTGCTCACAGTAAAATGAACTGGGATGCATGAAAAGAAAATGTTTTGTCCGAGCAGCAGATGCTCAAAGACGGCAGCCTTTCCTCATTTCATTTGATTTGTGCTTTTTCATAACTTGCTTTTATTTTCTGGTGTGAGCTCACTCTCCCTTCTCCCCCTCTGCTCCTCACAGGCGGCTGTGAAGTGGACCTGTCACGTTTTTTCCAGCTCATCAACGACATGGGCGGCATGCAGCAGGTGATGGACCTGAAGAAGTGGACCAAGCTAGCCGACCTTCTGCGCATCCCGAAGTCGGCGCAGGACCGGCTGGCCAAGCTGCAGGAGGCGTATCTGCAGTACATCCTCTCCTATGACTCGCTCAGCGCCGAGGAGCGCTTGAGACTGCTGGCCGAAGTGCTGCAGGAGAAAAAGAACCTGGAGTCGCGCCGGGGCCCTCTGGAGGGTCTCTCGGACTCCTCGGCACCTAGTGCGCTGGTGCTGCCGCGCTACGAGCCCAAGAACGGGCTGGTGGGTGGAATCGTGGGAGGGGCGACGGGGAACCACCACAGCAATGGAGTGTATCATCGTCTGAAGGAGCTGGAGGCTCAGGTCAAAGCGGGCCGTCGCCGGCTCTTCGCTCAGGAAAAACAAGGCAAAGAGGACAGGCAGCATGAAGAGGAGCCGCAGCAGCCGCAGCCGCAGCAGGAGGAAGACACGGGCGTTCTCAGTGACCAGCACAAATGTATAAACAAGGTGAGGATGAAGGAAACCGTAGCGGTTTATGCAACATATTTGAAACGCACTAGTCAAGCAATCGGAAAGAGCTGCGCGATGAATTGCGCTACAGGACTGTGTTTTATTGTTAGAGCAATGGACAGTACCTTGCACCTGTTATGATTTTGCTAAACATTTGTGTGTGTGTGTGTGTGTGTGTGTGTGTGTCTAGTAAGGTGGTCAGTGCACTTGCTTGTGTATCAGTGTACGCATCAGATGTATTCCCAACGCTCCTTCCTTCTGGCAGCTGTGTTGATTCTGTCTGAAATGTAGGTCAGAGAGAAGGCAGCCCCTGTCCCGCCCCCCTTTCAGGGCAGACATTCTCCTGTTCATTTAACTCCCGCCCCCACACAGCGGCTTCCCTCGTTCAGCACATGCCCTTGCTCTTAGCTATTTAACCCAGTCTCCAGTCGTTTTCTCCGACACAGTCTTTCTCTATCGTGACCAGTCCCTTCCACCAAATCCCTCTGCCAAGCCCCCCTACACACACACACACACACACACACACACACACACACACACACACACCGCTGCAGGGCTAGTAGTTCTCCGAATCCACTCGTGCAAACACATACATCATGCTTGTTTATTCACACAAAAACTATGCATGTATTGATGCAATATTTCTTTTGCAAAGAGTACTGTTTGATCACGCAAAGTGAGTGATGTGTGAATGGCTGCCAACATCCTGATATGAGCCATCACTTTTCTCCATTTTTCATCCCGACTGGCCTCCCAACAGGAGGTTATATTTCCCCTTCTTATCAAGAGAACAGAGTGCATTTCAAGGGTATAATTAACCCAAATTACACCAGGAAAAGCTTGGATAAGTGCTGCTTCTGACTCGCCTAAAGAAAGTGCTGCTTTACTCTGCTGTGCACTTGTTAAGAGGTGCAGCTTCTTTAATAATATAAATTTGAGTTTGGTCAGTTAGTTTTTGAAAACTTATATACCCAAGAAGGGAAAAAAAGAAGAAAATAGTCAATGCGAGGATGATGAATTCCACAAGATCATGTTTCAGCAGGGTCCGGACTTCTCAAAGCCGCGAGTCGGCAGATTTATGGGAACCTTCAAAGCTTTTCTGTAGCAGGAATGTCTGTGGGAAAGAGGGTCAAATGCATGGGGAACATATCTGTGGCCTGTAGGGAAGACCGAGATGGAGACTGATATAGCGCGCACACACACACACACACACACACACACACACACATATATGTACAGTTCATACATGTGCATGTGCATCACTTGACCATAATGCCCCCTGTGATAGCTTTTCCCGTGGCTTCCTCACCCGTGTGGTGGGATCGAGCAAAACTGGTAGTTCATTAATGTCCAGCAATATTTTCCTTGCTCATAATTTATTAGTGTTCTCTTCTTGGTTTACATTCCCACCGGTTATTTTAGCAAGACAGCCGACCGTAAATATTTGGAGTGAAGTCGAGTTTTAAAATTTTTTTTCAATGTTTCCCCTCAGATTGTTTTAGTGTTCATAATGTTTTATGCCTCTTTGTTTCAGGGGAAATCGGTGTCTTTGACTAACTTCTTCAGGATAGCCCGGAACACCATGACCATGTGCTTCAACAAGGAACCAGGGGCTGCTGATGTTGAGGTTAGCGTTGCTGTATTAAAACATGCTCATCATGCTATGGTAGTGGCACGTCTTGAAACGTATCCTATTTTCCTGATGAAACATTAATTTACCAACCAAGCATGCTCAGCTAGCGGCTGAAACCCGTCTTCTGCTTTCTTCCACTGATTGTCTTTCCTTCCTTTTTTTGTGCCTGCAGGAAGAGTACTGGAGGATTGTGGAGCAGAGAGACAGCCATGTGGCAGTGCATTGTGGGAAGGTGGACACTAGCACACATGGCAGTGGATTCCCGACAGGAAAGTCAGAGCCATTTTCAAAGTAAGTAGCTCAATGCTGCACATGCTCGCTTTAAAGTTTGCACAGAATATTCGACCCGTTTTTGCACGTTTTAGTCCCGCGCCGTTTTAGTCCCGCGCTGTGTCTCCGCCTCCTCAGAATGGTTCAGCCATCTTGTCTTTGGTAGCCCTTGAAAAGACCGGAAATGACTCTTCTCATCTTTTCTTCAGACATGGATGGAACCTCACTGTCCTTCCTAATAACTATGGATCCATTCTGAGGCATCTGGGTGCTGTGCCTGGTAAGGAACTGAAAGGTCCTAATCCTCTGGGACCCGTCCCAGAAAGTCCATTCATTGTTCTGAGACTGTGTCTGGGTAATTTGCAGTTATTAATAATAATGGCTGTTACTTTTTGTCTCCATAGGGGTGACCATTCCCTGGCTTAACATTGGCATGGTCTTTTCTACCTCATGCTGGTCTCGAGACCAGAATCGCCTTCCATTTATTGATTACTTACACACTGGTGCTGATTGCATTTGGTAAGTATTCACAAGTTGTTTCCCATCATCATCAGTGAAATAACAATGCCGTTTCCCCCCAAATCCCCATATAGGACCTCTGGGTAAGTAACAGTATGGTTTGGACCATTCTTTGCATTTGGAGTAAGTCTTTGGGTGTCCCTCCCACAGGTATTCTGTCCCTGCTGAGGAGAAGGTTAAGCTGGACAAGGTGGTTCATACACTGCTTCAGGCTAATGGCACCCCAGGACTAGAAATGTTGGAGAAGAACATCATGGTCAGTGTTTTCTGAACTCTTTGTGACCAAAAATACAGTTTCAGAAATTTTGTAACCTTGTTCCCCTCGCGTATTTTTGGTGTTCCAGATCTCTCCAGAGGTGCTGTGCCGTGAAGGCATCAAGGTTTACCGTACGGTGCAGCGGAGCGGCCAGTTTGTCGTCTGCTACCCCGGTGCCTTTGTCTCTAAAGTGTGCTGTGGCTACAGCGTGTCAGAGACGGTGCACTTCGCCACACCGCACTGGATGAACCTGGGTTACCAGGCCGCAAAGGTCAGCATGTGGAAAGTTACATTTTGCCAAAGGGACTACTTTTTACATTTTTATAAATACAAGATCAAAGGCCTGTGTATTCAAGATTTTACATACTTGATTTGGTTTAGTTGCGTTGTAATAAAACTGGTCGGTAAAACCGGTTGAAAGCGTCGCCTTTGGTATTTTAACGAGAATCTTAACGAATCAATTTGTTTTGTGTGCAGGACCTCAAATGTCGCCGCATAGCCAAACCCTTTTCCATGGAGAAGCTGCTGTACCAGATCGCTGCAGCTGAATCCAAGAGGGACAACGGCCTTCTCCTCACCACCATCTCCGCTCTACTCAAAGACCTCAGGTGGGACGCGGCAATGGTCCTCAGTGAGCACACACTTACACATATGTAACGGTTTCCCGGTCCCAGCTTAACCAGGATCCTTCTTGTCCCACAGGAACATAGAGATGCGCCAACGACAGGAACTTTACAAGGCGGGTTTGCTCTCCTCCGCCCGCTACGGCACCCATGACGGCAGCCTGGGCCCCGGGGAGGGACGCAAGAAGCCTCGAGGGAAATGGCTGGCCCTTGAGTCCTCCGAGAGACGCTGCCAGATCTGTCAGCATCTGTGCTACCTGTCCATGGTGAGCGCAGAGGCCCAACGACGTCAACACGTGGAGCCCTTTTTTCTGAAAAGCTTCAGTCCGTAGAAATGATTTAGCATTTGCATAATACTGTAATAAATGCAGCTTATGCAAAATAGTGTAGGAGTGGAAGACATTTGAATTCCCCTCAGTAGAAGGAGACTTGGTTCCTGCAGTGACGCTTCGGTTTCCATCTGTGCAGGTGGTTCAGGAGACGGATAACGTGGTCTTCTGTCTGGAGTGTGCCCTGCGTTATGTGGAGAAGCACAAGTCCTGCAGAGGCCTCAAGATGATGTACCGATACGATGAGGTGAGCGACCGGCGTTTGGTTTTCGGCCGTGGGTTCAGTTCGCTCTCCGTCCAGATGGGGGCGACATAAGCCAGGCTCACACTGGAAGTAGCTCATTCACCAGTGTTCATGATGTCATTCTTACTCTATATAACTGTGTTATAGATGAACAAGTTATGTTGCTAAAAGTCATTCAAAAAAAAAAAGATAAATGGTCCCTTTTTATTTAATCTTTTTTAATGGGCTTGGCGATTAGAAGCAAATCAACAGTCTGGTGACCCAGGTGTGTGCCGGGCCCATTTTAAAGAACGCGCCGGGGGGTGTGTTCTCCACTCCAGTAGGGGGGGACGCTTCCCACGCCTTCAGCCCCGCAAAAGCTTCCCCACCCAAGGGAGCCCCCGAAAAGCGCCCCCCGGTGGAGGTGCCACCCTTTTCCTCCACCCACATACCCAAGGCTGTTGTTGTTTCCGGGGGGGGCCCCCCCCCCCCCCCCCGCCCCCCGGTGTGCTCTGCCAGACCCTCTCAAACTCCCCCCGTTATGTTTTACATTAAGCAGGATTTCTAGCAATCCCTCCCCCACCACTCAATATTTAAGATTGTTTTTTTACTTTGAAAAATCCCCTCAACCGACCTCCACCCCCCCAAAAATTCACCTCCTCCCTCAGTATGACAGGCTTGTTTATAAAAAAGGAAAAACAAAGAGGGGGGAGGGGAAAGCAAGATGTCTTTTTTGCACTAGTGTGAAAGAAGAATTATTTTTGTTTTTTCTGGATGATTTTAGAATCCCGCCGTCCCTCTTTACGTCGTCTTTTACAACATTACAAGCATTAAGCGTAACATTCACGAGAAGACTTGGTGAGCCCTTTACCTCCGTCGCCCCTTAACTGCAGGGGGGGGAGGGGGGGTACATTTGTTACCTCCGTCTTGCATCTCTTTCCTGCCCTGCCCTCACCTCGCCTCCCGAGACTGAACCCCATGCCTGCTCACCTGTGAACGTGGGACAAATGAAAAGGACATCAAGTAGTTACCCAAAGTTTCCCAGGAGTCCTTTTATAATTATTTTATTATGTCATGGTGCAGCTCCTGCTTTTTTATTTTAAGGGGGGAGGGGGGGGTTGGTGCCGCGAGGTAAAAACTTGAACGATAACGATGTTTGTTGGGCTGTTTTTTCAAGTTCTATTTTAAATTTTAGCTTTGCTTTTAAGAAGTCTTCTGTGTATTTTATTTTCTCTGTCATTGTGGATGTTTCTGTTTGTTGGTGGACGTGAGAGGTGGCAGATCTACAGCTGCTCGACCTGTGAAAGGTCACCGCTCACCTCGCTTCCTGGTCGTATGGAGGGATCCCTCCTTCGCTAGCAAGTGAAAACTGTGCCTGATCCGTAGCGAGGAGATCCATTTTAATGGTGCTGTTGGTTATAATTACTGTATAACAACACAAATTTAAAATCCGGGGGTTAGCACATGCTATCTACTAACAGCTAGCTTAGGCTCCCCCCCTCACAGGGCAGAAAGGCCATCAGGTTTTTCTGGTTCTAGATGTGCAATCGTGTTAACATTCCATTCTTCCAGTTTCCTCTGTAACAGTAAACATTAATTATATTATTATTTTGTGTTTTTTTTACTTTTGTTGGTCTGACGTGTTATCTCAAGTAGAGCCACTAGTCAAAGAGTGTAAAATGTGAAATATGAAATCCAAGTTTTGTTTTTTGTATTTTTTCAATTGACCTTTAGTTATTTTTTCTCCCTTTTCCAGATATACGAGTGATTCTTAGAGGAAAAAGTCCAACACAAACTAAACATCTTTTTTTGTACATAATCCTGTAAATCTCTTTAAATACCTGAGCCTTGTTCTGGGGCTGAGGAATAAAAGGAAGAGAGAAACGTTCCAGAGGAGAGTGGTTGATGAAGAAAAAGCCTTAGATTTCCCTTTCTTCATCCGTGTGAGTTTGACGCTTACAGGGTTGCTCTGGTTAAACGTGTATAAAAATTTTAAGTGCTGCTTATATCACTAAGAAAGAAGATATTGAGTAGCCAATGACTGCCCCCCCCTCTTCCCCATAACCTAGTTTTGTTTGTTTAGCTTTACTTTTTTAAAGAAAAGGGAAAAAGATATGTTCACAAAAAAAGGGGTTTTTACATTTTCATTACTGAAAATTCAACCATAATGTAGTAGCTACTCATGTTGCACTGAGCTTGCCAGTGGTGACTGTCAAGGACAAATCCTATAATCCAGTTTGTTGGTTGTCGTCCCTCACAGAAGACTGAACTGTTTAGGACTATTTAATAAAATACCAAGTTGGGTGTTTTCAACATAAAGTGGTTGTCAAGTTTTTATGGCCTTATATTCTGATGGGATTTTTATTTTTCAGCTTGCTTTTTTGGTTGGTTTCTTCCATTTTCTACAGTATAAACTACTTGCTCACAGTGGGGTCTCTGGTGACTTAATTTATTAGTGCCGCATCTCGGCCTTTCCCTCCACTTGGAAAGAGTCATGTTGGTTATATTCAGTTTTTTACTTTTGCAGTTTGTACTTAAGGTTTAATAAAAACTTACCGGCAATTCACTGTCATTTCTTTCCAGCAGGTTTGTTTCTTTATGCGGAAATGGTTTTGACAGCATGACCATTTAGGTGTCAAGTACCAGGGCAAGCTGTGAGAAACTACGGTCATAAAGAAAGGGCACAGAAAAGTTAGTTTATATTAGAAATCGAATACACTGGGGCCTGTAAACCCAAACGGCTCCTCAGGATCTCCTACAAAAAGTTATTCTCACCATTATCAATTTGTGTAAAAGACCATGTATTTTGGTCCTTGGTTTAATTTCTGTAATTAAATATCAAAAAGATAAGATGACATGCAATTAAGGGAAAGTGTTATATTCCTAAAAACGTGGAGAGTCAGATTTAAAGAATCAGTTATTCATTTCTGAGTAAAAACGGCCTCTAACTTAGGGGCTTTGATGGAAATCAAACGATGCTTGGGGGGGAACAACATTTATTAAAGTCAGAAACTTGTCAGGGGAGAAGGAGCGTCGCTGTCACTTCACACAAATGTAGAACATTTTTGCACAAAAAGAATCCGAACACAGTTCAACCTTCTGGATGTTGTCCAGTGCATTTAGCACACGGTCCCAACAGATGCAAAAAGTTCCAATATTATTGGTCCGGAATGGCAACGTGTAACATGATTCATATCCTGATCTGATCTGTGGTCTGTCTGATACAGTCACTACGAACGGGACAGCCCGCTGCCTGTGGCTGGATCTATTTAACCCTGTTTATCAATGTATTTTCTAATTTGGAGCATGTATTTATTGCAATATGTAGCTTATAAACTAGTCGAATTGCAACAAGCTTTGGGGATTCAGCTCATAAAGTAGTTAGAAAATCCATCCGTGTGCCCCATGCAGATTTAATATCTGCTTTATTACATTTCCCAGATTTTCAGTATTATTAAAAACTCCTTTACTTGTTGCTGAGGTTCTTTGTGTCACAGCCGTTATTCTGCATCCCAGTGACGCGACAGCGGCGTACTCATTGTATGAACAGGTACCAGAGGGCTAGTACGGGAGCTGTGTGGCGCAATGCAGTCCTTTGTTTTTGGAAGAAAGTTCTTCTCCTCACTCAGACAAAAGGAGTGCTGGAGACCGACTTCAGGATCCAGAAGATAAACCGCACCAGACGACCGAGACTAACGGATTCCAGGTCTCCCACGCGATCCGTGGGGGGAGGGGAGAGGGGGGGGGGGGCACTGGACAAGCATTCATGTTCACACCTGCAGGCAGTCATCAATTAACCCGAGCTGTATTCCGTCCAGTTCAAACTTCAAGTTTTTTTTTTTTTTTTAAATCAATCCAGCGGTCGTGAACACACAATAGTCTGTTTTGGGGATTAATGAGTGACCAACTGGTGACTCTCGGCCGAATGAGTCTGTGGTTGCTAATAAAAAAAATAAAAGATAAGGTGGGAAGTGCTTTTGTCAGTTTTCCCAGACTACAAAAACAAGTTTTATCAGTCCAGGTTCTGAGCTATTTTGAATTTCCATTTGTTGTTCATCAAAACAAGATGAAACAAAAGCAAAGTATCTAAATGGATCGATACCACGAGTCAATGGGGAGATAACGTAAACCTTTGACATTTGGCAACTCTGTAGATCAAAACACCATTATGTATTTATATTCTGCAAAAGAACCACAGTCTCCACCACGTGGATGAATGTTGACTGCTGCCGTTCAGTGAGCGTGAACGCAGCGAGCGACACACGGATGAATTCAGAGTGGAACGATCTTACTTCTTCCTTGTGGCTCACAGGTCTCCCCTGGTCTCACGCACAAACACAGAAACAGACTACTTATGGGAACGTTAAGCCATCCAATGCGATTATGCGAAAGGTGACTCAAACCTATTTTACAGGAAAACTCTTCAGTGTTTTTTTTTTTTTTTTTAAGGCAAGGCCGTGTGGCAGTTAGTGCAACCTCAGTGTGTTTATTCTCACATCTTTTTCCTCAGTATGACAATTTGGTGAAGGAAGCCAATGTTGTTATGTATCGGAGTTAGATTCGGTACTTTGCGTTGGAATCCGGTCCGTGTTGTCCTCAGACCTTCGGCCTGCGAGCCTCCCTGTCTTTGCTGGTCTGCTCCACCCCGTCCACCAACGCCGTGTCGGGGTGCACCTCCTCTTCGTCCAGGGTCACCACCACGGGGGCTCTTCTCCTCCTTCCTCCGCCGCCTGATCCTCCAACACCACCTGCTAGCTCGGGCTCTTCCTCCTCCTCCTCGTCCTCCTCCTCTTCCCCGGCCTCCGTGTCTTGGCTGGCGGAGTCGGTGCAGGTGGATGAAAGCGAAGACAGCTTGTGGCGTAGCTCAGCCTGCGTGGGAACCTGGAGACTGATCTCCGTGGTGAAGGACTCCACGTCAGGACCTGGGACGAAGAGGAGTGCCGCTTTACTCATTTAATCACATTCATGTTCCATCATCAATAAGAATGATTTAATACTTTATTAATAAAACAGATCTGGGCGGGCACCTGTTGACCTTTGAAGTTAAGCAATTGTTGAACATCTGGTGGTGGTCTTCACATACACCTGAATTCTCAGCTAAAACCCAGCTACATTTGGGCTTTTGGTGAAACTAGTGAACTTCAAACTAGCTTTTTCACGACTACAAATACAAAGAAAAATAAGAGCTGCAGTAGAGACTTTTAATACATTCTACTGTGTTTGGTAACTGTCCGTATTGTTAGAACGGCTTCATTGGGTTTTGTTTAAAATCACTGGTCGCCGTAAGACATTTAAAAACCTTGAAGGAATTTCATCAAATCATTCTTGGAAGACTGAACTGTCAGTTCGATGCTGTAGGTTGTTACTAGGACAGGAATGTTCCCAAACAGATGTGGACAGATGGTGTATTTTGCCTCAACACTTCGTCTGAGTCACATATTTCTACTCCATCTTATTCTGGGAGATGAATTAGCTGTACAAGTGTATTTCCGTCTAGGGATGAGTCATTGAAGTTGAAATAAACTTAGCCGACGTACGAATACTGTGGCAGCGTGTCGGCTTGTGGCCACCTACCTGCGACGGGCGAGGCAGCGCTGTTGTCCTCTCCCCCGGAGTGCAGAAACACATCCAGGGCTTCGTGATCCGACATGTCCATCAGATCCATCTGCTCCAGCATGTCCACGTTCACCTCCATGGACGACATGCTTCCTATGGGCTCTGGACACAGCGAGATAGTAAGGTATTAGCCCTGCACGAGGTCGGGGAGGAAGGCAGCAGTGCAGGAAGACCAGCACTTCAAAAGGTGCGTTTTCTTAAATGTGCAACGCAGAAGCAGATGGGCACATTTGGGCAGAATGGTGTTTGAAATGAGAAAGCTTGTGTGCACAACACATTCCGTTTACCTCACAATCCAGCGAGTACCACAAACAATGGATTGCCAAGTTTCATCATATGTGGGGAGCATCATGTGAAGGTGACCAGCAACAGCATTTCGCTGACAGCGGAAAATTCAATACGGCCTTTTCCTCCACTTTCGCGATGCCTATTTTCGACTGAACCGGGATTGTGGACTTGGCTTTGATTGATAGCAATAGATAGTTTTCACAGCAGAGAAACACCTGCAGCAAACCATCTTTCCCAGTATGTGTGAGCATAGTTTTTAAGACAGACACGGGGAGCACAATGAAGCCGTCTTTTAAATGGACAGATTGCAGTGGAAATTCTCCCGACAGACAATTAAAATGTGCAAAGTTTGAAATGATTGGAATCAAGCTTAAGAAATGGATAATGCTGATTATCATGGCACTCTCGCATGTATTTCAGGGCTGGGTAAAACCTCTTTGGATTTAATTCAAATACCCTGAAAGCTTAACCTGGCCCCATAATAGAGTAAACCAACCCACTGACAATACATTGATTAAAGTTTGAAACCATAAAATGCATAAAACGGATGAAAGCCACACAGACGAAACTTCATATTCATATCGAGCATTATAGTATTTGTTTTGTGGTCAATTATATTCTGTCCACATCATCGTTTTCGACATGTAATGAGGACATACATCTTTCGTTGATGTTCTATTTGAATATGAAGCTGGTTTAATTAGCAGTACAACATATTGGATCATTTGAAACTCCCACAGGCCTGGATTCACCACCTTGCCTGGGTACAACCCCCCTGTTCACCGTCACGATGTGCTGCATGCGCCACAAAAAGCCAGTCAGTGCACTGTGGGGATGAAAGGGGGTGTGTGGGGGGTGTGTGGGGGGGCAGCGACCACAAGAGGAAGAACGGAGATGATTGGTCGACGCACAGCAGTGAGAGGAGATGCCGTTGGCTACCCTACCTCACGGAAAATGAGGAGAGCAGAGGAGGGCGGCACACGGAGGGAGAGCAGAAGAAAGAGTGAAGAAAGAGAGAAAGAAGGGGAGTGTTATTTCTCATGAGAAGCCCCAAAAGTCTCTCCGTCCTTGAACACGCACACACACACACACACACACACACACACACACACACACACACACACACACACACACACACACACACACGTCATATTTTCAGATCACTCAACAATTCATTTGATTGACTCACACATTAACAAATTCTAATTTACAGAAACACACAAACCCAGTTGGATTGTGTTTTATTTAAACACACACACACACACACACACACACACACACACATCACTCCTGCACACATATGACTGAATAAGATGGAAAAAATGTTCTCCTTCTCTCTCTTTCTCTGCGGATACAGAAGTGGTGATTCCTGTATCCCATCCCAGGAGGAACAAGGGTCTGATGCTTCTTCGTCTCGTGTGCATTTATACATCACTGTCAGCCACGAAATTACCGCACAGCAGCCATCCAGGCCCACAAAACCACATATCATGGGCCATGTTTATGTGTTCAGTCTTACAGCATCTAAACACACACACACACACACACACACACACACCGACTGCATGGCTGTTGGATGTGAAAGACTTGGTTCAGAAAGCTTTGCTTTGAGAATATCACTTCCATGCGACTGCCTCTAACATGCTCTGTTTTTAGCCTTACTGTGACCTCACCTAAAAGGTTCCGCTGTTGGGAAGGACTGTGTTTGCCCGCAGTGAGATTGCATGTAGTATTAATGTGTGTGTGTGTGTGTAAGACTGGCTTTTGATAGCTCAGTGGCTTGTGACATCTGCAGCTCTTTCTCTCCTTTTCTTTATTTTTCCTTTCAGTTTTTGTTATTCTCTATCTGCTCATCTTCAATGCCTGCAGCTGTATCTTTGCTCTCCAGTGGCGCCGCCCTGCTGTAGGGATTTGTAGTCACAGTGTTTTGTGTGTTTTGAGTTTTGAAACCTTTTTCTAGACAGAATTATAATGAAAGTCTAATTATAAACATTTTAGTCTTCTTACCATAAACAACTGTCGGGACAAATCATTCTGACTATGAGCTGATGATCTACTGCAGCACAAACCTTTGGCGATAGTTTTTGTCATCGACATTAAGACGACAAAACATTGATCTGAAAAAAAATAGTGACAGTGACAAGCGTAATTCTCTCTGCTCGTCTCTATTCACTTTACCCCTCCTCCATCTTTACTGCTTCACAATGCTCTCTAATGAGCATAATGAATGGGGATAGGTAGAAGATGAACAAACATCACGTTGCAAACTCTGTGCTGGTCGAGTCCAATACATATTTCAGTGCAGGGCGCAAATCTCAAGAAGCCCCCCGGTATATTAGCACCAGTTTAGCGCTAAACTGCTGCAGGATTCCAAGTGGAAGCCTATTCACATTGCACTATGGCACGGCTTAGCGCAGGAAACAGCTCTGCTTGTGTGTTAAGTGAGGCACCCGGATGGTGGAGTCTTGCTGCAGAAAGCGGTTGCGGCTCAATCTCGGGATATGCAGTTGAAGTGTAAAGGATCCAGCTGAAGGAATCAGAACTGTGGAATAAAGTCATCCGAGTGCAGGTTGGCATTGCATTCGCCCTCTAACAAGTAACAGACACCACAACTTAAACATCAACATGTTCTTCCTTCCTCTGCTGGCCAAAAGAAATGCTTTCAAATGGACAGCCTGTAATCTAAAGTTAGGGAGGAATCTCTGACCTCTCCGCTCAGCGATCTGCAGGTAGCCAGTGGACAGGTACTGCTCCATGTCTTGCTGGAAGGCCTCCTCAAAGAACTTCTGCCTCTCTTTCAGCTTGACCTGGGGGGCCGGGGCCCCTCCCTGTTCGGCCCCAGGGACTCTCTGCGCGTGCTCCGCGTCCAGCTCCACTGGGGAAAAGAAAGAGGAAAGTTTTAGAAGTTTACAGGTGATTGTTGGAGGTGCAAACTTCCAACAAAAAGGGCAAAGGGGAAAACAATCCCTTCCTTTACAAGCGCACACAAAACCACTTCTAAAAAAAAACTTTCACCTGAAATGAATCCATGGCAGATCGAAGACAGACAAATGAAATGTTTACTAAAGCACACAGTAGAGCTTAATGCTCCACAGCATTTGCCTTTTCTGCAGGTCCCCCCCCCCCCTCAGTGACTCAAGCCTTTGCCTCCTGCAGGACGCACGGTAGGAAGGACACTCACTCAAGTATCCCACAGTAACGGCTGCACAGTTTATTATGTCCTGCTGTCCGTCTCCTGAGACATGCAGCGGCATTAAAGGAGCTTCAGGATTAAAATGTATCACTGCTGCCTAGTAAAACAGTTAACGGATACGTTTGCTTGGTTCCCTCTTGGGGTTTAGGGATGAATTCATTCATCGGTTTAAAGATGAATTCATTCAGTTACTGTTTAGTCACTGATTTTGAAAGATCAGTTAGGTTAAAAAGGCCTTAATGGCTTTCTGTCCTCTCCAAAGACATGCTAATATTTTGACAAACATCCATCGGCAGCATAAACGAGCTTAATGAGTCCGGCTTGAAATGTCCCATTTCCTCATTTCTCACTTTCTACATCCTTGATTCGTTACCTCGCCTCCTTTCCTCTCGCATTAGTCCCTCCCACCTTAGATGTGAGCACTCGAGGAGAGTAGAATTAATGCCGTCTAACAAAATGAGACATCCGTGTTCCCGAGCAGCATTTTCAAGTGACTCAATCGAATATGACGTGTGGCACAGCTGCCTCACCTGTCACGCCTGATTAATACGTCACATGTGTCCAAAAGACTCAGCATCCTTGCTTCATAGCTCCTCTGCCAAGCTTCCTCGCCCCTCTCACTCGAGATGCATTTTAGGTATTGAGACATCCTACAATCTCCAGGTCAGAGGCAGGAGGACGGAGGAGGAGGCGCAAAACAGAGAACTTTAGGGCAGAGAAAGATGTCTATGTGGACAGGACGGAAGAGGGAGGAGCATATTAGCAGGATGATGCAAAGCACGACCCTGCAGACAGAGAAACGTGTGTGTGTGTGTGTGTGCACGCACACTGCTGCACCCTGGAGTCTCAGAAAGGCTGTCTCTTTAGTTCACTGGTCTCCCTCTGATAGATGGCAGCATTACATAAGACGACTCGCTGACACTAACAAGTGCCACTGCGTGTGACGTGTCTAGCGTGTTCCGAGCGGAGCGGAGGGCGGTGGGGGGCGTCGACATGGCTGCGTCAGGTGTGGCAGGAGGCACAGCTGATCTCGGCGTCAGGGAATGACGGACAAGGAAACGGATAAAGGGAGAACAGGACTTATCCTGCGAGTAGAGGCCGGTGAGTCGGCCGGTGACCCGCAAGCAGCTTCTACCTTCCCTTAACACTGAACCTCAGTCACCAATCTGACTATCTGACAATAAACAGCATTTTCATGCTTGATAATAAAAAACAACAGTGAAAGCATGGAAGCATGCGGACAGCTGGCCGCGGTACAAAAGAAATAACATACAGTGACATGTGCCGCATGCACAGAGGGCAATGGCCGGTGCGTCCTGAACATCGCCTCCTTATGACGGTTGCATTTACCTCCCGGGTCCCACTGAGCTGCCTGTCTGACGCAGCTCTGCACTAGTTACTGCTGCTCCCCCGTGTACCCCCCAAAATCAATACACTGCTCCGGGAGTGTTGAGTGTTCTGCAGGATCACAGTGGGAAACCTCACACAGGAACAAAACAGTCCGGGGGCTCATAGCAGATTGACACACACACACACACACACACACACACACACACAATGGGGTCCCAGCAGAGCTCCCTCATCATGGACACCACACCAACAGCCCTTGGAGAGCTCTCTTTCTGTGTTATTCCTCAATCAGTGTCCAATTCATGTCCTTTATCTGTCTGCCCGTCTTCTTCCTCCCTCCCTCCCTCCCTCCCTCATCCTTCCCTCCAGACTGTCCTACCAGCTTTGCAGGCTGGTGTGTGTGTGTGTCTTGCAGAGACTGCTCTATTAGATTAGGGGCCTCTGGGAAGCTTTGTTCAGATTGTCGAGCATTGTGTGGGGTTAGTAGAAGGGTAGTGAAGGAGGGAGGGAAGGAGGGATAGAGGGCAGCAATGATGGAGATAGATCCCGTCTTCTCCATCCATTGTTAGCCTGAGCGGCCTCGTTAGTTAGACCTGTGCCCATCGCGCTGCCAGGGTCGAAGTCTAAAGCCTTTCTTCTTCCATCGGTATTCATAAAAAATAATCAGTATCCCAAGTATATGTAATATAAAATGAAACCTTAGAGCTTCTTAACCCATTAAGATCAGATAGTGATGGTTCATTTCTTTTCATGCATTTATTGATGATCTTTCCAGCACTCTTTAGAACATAAAAACCTCCATCGTTAAATTCCTCTTCTTAAGCGACGCCTTTTCCTTCTAATCTCTCCTCTCTGCCTCCTGGCTTTTCTTCGTCACCATCTACAAGACAACCGTATCCGGCCACGCGTGTTACTGTAGCTACGGGGGGTATTTTTAGCTCAAATTCAGCTCGCAGGATTAAGTTAGCGCTGATGACTTTGGTGGAGGAGCACACGCCATTTAATCCAACGCATTTCCTCCTCACAGGCTGAGCTGCACCTACAGTTGGAGAGACTGAATCAAGTGAAACTCCACACCAAGACACGTGCTCAAGCGAGCCCCACAAGAACGTCCATCACTCATGGGTCATAATTCCAGATGTACAGTGGAGGGCGAGTGCTCACACAGACGCACACATCTGGCAATGATTCGTAGGCACTGAGGCAATTGCATTACGTCAGTCACAGCAGATGACGTCAAATGACTACAAATACAAATATTTTGACCACTTGTGTTGGAAAGCACCTAAAATCTAAAACGGAACCACCTCTTAAGAAAATGGAGAGGATTTTTTTTTGGGGGGGGGGGGGGGGGGATCTATGAAATTGAAATTAAAAAACAAAATATTGTACAATACATGGAATGAATTTCCTTTGTGCCGCCTGGGTTTGTACTCGCTGTGTTTCTCAGCGTGTCGGTTTCGGCGATCATCATACAGGCAAAAAAAAAAAAAGGTGATACTTTCCGCCTGCTTTTGCACAGAAGCGCGTCACCCAAACTCGCACACCGTGCACCGACAGAGCTGCTCTACTTCTCACCTCCGCACCCAAAAGCCAGGGCGAATACAAAAAGAACAAAAACAACATTTAGTGATCTGGTTCCCGTTAGTTCAGGCTAGAAAATGATACTTTTGATGTAATTATTCGCTTTTTGATTTTGTGCGTTAGGATAAAAAGTTGGTGTGTACGTGTCCACGTGAAGGTGTGTGTGTGTTTGCTTATGGGAGTCTGCTACCTGCGCCAGTGTGTATCTTATAAATATTCATACGACATAATGAACAAGCAGTAATCCATTTAGCTGCAGATCAACATCTCCATCCATTCTCCGAAACAGAACTGCAACTCTTTCACGTGTCGTCTAAACTGTCAGTAACCGTTCAGAAATCACCAGCGTTTATTTATTTGCAGCTATTGTATCGCGGGAGAATACACTGGTAACCCCAGCAGAAAGGAGAGAAGGAAACATTAAGGGAAATTCTAATCTTTAGAATTCAAATCACGCTTTAGATTTGACTAAACAGTCGTTGTCGAACAGGAAGGTTCAGGTTTAAGTGTTCATCACGGTCACCACTTCTCCTTTGTACAGAAAATGCTCATCTAGGCTCAATGCCACAGGAACTGATCTTAATTCATCAAGGACTCTTTCAATAGAATTTCATGAAGCATTAATCTCAATTAGAGCCCTTTCAGAATTTAGTTGGGTACGATTCTCAGCATTTTGAGTTAGAGCAACGACGGGCTGCATTTAAGTGGCCGTAAATAACAAGCAACACTAACAGCCGCCTTTTTCAAATGGAAATAAATCACTTAGGGAGTCAGCGACAGCCAATTCAAGTCACCGCCGGGCCGGTCCACCACCGTTCACACTTTGTAGTGCACTTCACATGTGGAGGTCCTGAGCCAATGGACGGAAGGTTTTGTTTGAAGCCTTGGGTCGACAAACAAAGGGCTGGACGGACGGATGAAAGTGTCCGTTGGTCTTTAAAGCCAGCCACAGGCCCGGGACCAGAGCCAGCTTCAGCGAGCGCAGACACCATTAGAAGTGCGGTGGTCCTCTGAGGCCGTTTGTGTATGTGGCATGAAAAGACGGGGTAGATGGTCCGTGCAGGGTTATTCTTTAAGAAATTGATGACAAAATGAGAGGGATATGGCGACAGCAAGTGACCTTGAAGTCAAGGCGGAAGAGGTCAAAACATTTTAAACACTGAAATGCACACTTAACGTGCAGGTCCGCGTCGCACATCGTGTCACACCACGGTGTAAAACCAGAGCCAAAAAAACTATATACTTTAAAAAAAATCTGATATAAAATACCCCTTGTTCTACTCATCACTTTAAATTAGCCATCTGCCATCGGATGGATTAGTTTCTGTTATAACAGAACGATATTTCTTTCTGAGACCGAAAGGCAGGCCTGACAGCAGAGACAGCCACTGCTGCTGCTTCTTCTTCTTAAGCCCGGCTCACTCAGACGGGTTATTTTTAGATCCTGTCCGTCTCGCTTTATCTCTCAAGTGCTCAGGTTTCCGCCAAAGACAGACCCATGTTGTACAGAACACATGTGCACTACTTCTGCACACACGCATCAAAAGTACTCGAATGCAAAGGGACAAAATTTGCATGATACAGAAACTGTTTTTAGGCGGCGAACTTCCTTGCGTGTGCAAATGAAGACAGATTTGAGCATGCACAGGTGACGAGGGAAATGAACACACGATAACGAGAAGGAACGAGTCGCTCAGTGGGACTTGACAGTGTAATCTGTAGCATAAACCATACAGTCGTTGTTCTGT